AACCGAATGTAGAGGAGAAAAAAAAAGTTTGAAAATGACAAGAAAAGTGAAAAAAGCAAAAGCAAAAAAAAATTGTTGACATTTATTTCATGCACGCACATTTACAAAATACAAACAAACAAAAAAAATGACATCAACAACAACCAAAATTCGTTAAAATAGTCATGGCTTATACATCACTAACATTATTATTGTTTTGATTTCGTGAAAAAAATGGATGAATGAATGAATGAATGAAATATCCATGTTTTGAATTTTTCGAAAATTTAAAATTCAAAAAAACAAATTTCTTTGCCACCATAAATTGCTATATCATCATGGGAGAAATAAATATGAAAAACAAAACAAAAAATCATCAAAACAAAACAAAACAAAACAAGCTGTCGACTTTGAAGTTTTTTTTTCTTTCTAGTCCGGATATATATGATGAATATATTATTAATATTATCAGAAGGTAGAAGATTCATAGAATTCAAATGGAACGAAATAAAGAAAAGAATTAAATTCCTGTTTTGGTTATGGAAGAGAAATAAAGAAAAAAAAATCCTTTCGTTCAATTCTTTAGTTTGTGAGTGAATGAATAATTTTGAATTCAAAAAAAAACATCATATAGTGACGGAAAAAAAGTTGAAATTGGAAAATTCAAAAAAAAACAAAACAAAACAAAACAAACAATTCATTTTAAAATTATTTCCTTCCTCATTTTGAATTCTAAAGAATCAAGAATCATACATATGGGAAATCGGTTAATATTCTATCCAATCAATCCTTTGCATTCATCATCATATTCCACTTTTACAATAGGGAAAAAAAATGAAAAATTCTGTTCATTAAAAGTAGAAAATAAAAATAATAATCAAGAAATAATCCACGATATATAGATATATTCTGGTAATTAGTTGAATCTCATGAGATTCTTATTCTTGAGTATATTTTTTTCATCATTTCTCTCTTTCTTTCCCTCTATTTTTCAAGTTTTATTCTCTATATCATCGTTATTATTATTATTGGTCACACTTAAGATAATTGAATGTCATTGAATGCATTCTTTCACAGTGGTAAGATTCCATAATAATTTCGATATATTCCATAATACAGAATGAACAACGAGAAAACAACATCATATTCTTATCATGTGATGAGTGAATAGAGAATACACTTGAATAAATATATAAAAGCAAAGAAAAAAACAATAATGAAATATGAAAATGAAAATGAACATTTTCATCATCATCATCATCTCATTGTCGTCATCATCATCATTTTTGTTTATTATTTACGGTGAAAAGTTAGTAGCATGAAAAAGTGAAATAGAAAATGTCACAGAATATACATTTTAAAAGCGATGTGATCACGTAATTTGAATGAAATATATATATGTGAGTGAGTGTTTGATTGCAAAACAAACGATGATGATGATGATGATGATGAATCATGATGATGGTTGGTCTGTTTGTTTGCATGCTTGCATTATGATTATTCCGAATAAGTTTTTTGTTTCTGTTACTGGTCACTATTGTCACATTACCAAGAAAAAAAAACTCGACCGTAAATTCCGGAAGTTTTTTTTCATTCTTTCTTTTTTTTTTTTGAATATTTTCATTTGAAAATTCTGTTGTCAAAAATACATTCGTTCTTATCATCATCGTTATTCTTTTTCTTGATTTGAAATCATAAAAACAAAACATACTCATCAATCGATGTGTGATGAAAAATTCTCATTGACAAGAAGGAGAGCAAAAAAAAGTTAACAAGTTTTTGTTTCGGTCTGTTTGTTTGTTTGTTAGGTTTGAATTTAGTTTTTCATTTTTTTCTTTCATTTGTTTGTCCAAAAAATCAAGTTTTTTTTAAGTTGACTTTGTTTATTCAAATCATTATGATCATGATGATGATGATGATGGTAATCATCAACGTTCATTCAATTTTTGTTGTTTGTTTGTTTATCAAAATCTCACCATTTTTTTTTGACAGTCAAATTAAGATGGATGAAAAATTTTCGAATGAATTTTTTTCCTCTTTTTCCTTCAATTGTCTTTGTTTACATTATCATCATCATCATCATCATCATCAAAAATCATTGAAAACGAATGTCAATAAAAAATAAAACTGATGAGATGAGATTAGAAAAAAAACGAAACCTGTTGCCACTGTTTATTTGATCGATCAATCAATCAATCAATCAATCAATCAACCTATCAAACAATCAATCGATCAATTTTATCGATTAACCCCTTTGTACAAGGCATCTTGCCATTATAAAACATTGATAAAATTGAATGTAAATTTTTTTTCTTTAAATTGATGAAATAATGAGAGAAAAAACCGGAAAAGCAGTTAGTGAAAAGAAAAACTAGATCAAACTCATCGACAACAACACTTGTTGATATTTAAACAAACAAACAAACAAAAAAAAAGATTTGCATCGACATTCATATGATGTACGCATGTTTCCACACATTTTTTTATATATACACATGTGGCATCAATCATCATCATCATTTATATTGTATTATCTTCATTGCCCATCATTATTATCAAGATCAAAATCAAAATCAATCAATTTATATATATATTTCTTCATTCTGTTCTTTCGATATAGTTAATGTTTTGCACTTAAAAAAAAATGAAAAAAAATTTCAAAAAAAAAATCATCACCATATGAAATGAACAACAACAACAACACATGTCACATGACATTCACATGTGTGCATGTGTGTGTTTGTTTGACAAATTTAAAAAGAGGCTCCTTTTTCCTTAACATTGAATGAAATGATTTTAAAGTGAAGTAAATCTTAAACTGATGACAGATTCCATAATTCACAATGATGACGATGATGATGATAAGTCAGCGAAATCAGACAGCGAATATCCGTTGTTGTTGTTGTTGTTATTATTATTATTATTCAACAACCAAACGGATTTGTATGGATTTCTTATTCTGTGTTTTATTTATTGTTACATGTGGTTTATGTTTTTTTTTCTTTTACTTTAAATGTCAGTTTTTTTTTTGGTTCTACCCACATAATATTTTTTTTTTATATTTGAAATTTGAATTTTGTTGTTGTTGTTGTTGTTGTTGTTGTTGCAATAGAAATTGAAAGGAGGCTCTCCAAATGAAAACAACAACAACAACAACGACAAAATTCACACATTTTACAAGAGGCCTCCTGATTTAGATTATTCTTTCCATTTCAACTGCTACTATTTTGTTTCTGGCCTGAAAAAAAATTTACAAAAAACAAAGATTTATTCATAATGATAATTTCTGATTTCACATTGAAATTTGTGGAACAAAACAAAACATTCAAGCCAGATATAGTCAAAAAAAAAAAATTTCTTCTGTCGAATGGCGAGAAAAATAAAATAAAAAAAAATCTACACACAAATACAAAAAGCTTAATATGGTTTGGCAATCTAGATTTCTATTTTGGTAATTTTTTTTCCTTCAAACACACGTGGTATGGTTGAATGAATTTTCAACGACAACAACATCAGTTTAAAAAAAACGATTGGCTTTTCATATCATCATATGAAAATGCAAACATCACTGTTTGCATTTTGATTGCTGGTTGTTGTTGTTGTTGTTGTTGTTGTCATCGTTCTCGTGTTGATGGTCATCAGACAATAATTTTTGTTTTCTTCTCAATCTCAAACATTTTTTTTCCACATAACTTTCAACTTATAGTAAAAAAATGTGAAACCATTATAATAAGATCAGGATTACAAATTGGCTTAATCTAATTTGATTCGATTCGATTCGATCTGATCCGATTCAATTGAATTGAAAATGTTTTCAAACAAACAAATCTCTATGCCATTTTCTCAATGAAAACAACAACAACGACAGCAGCAGCAATAATCGAATGATGTGTGATATGAATGTGCCAAATTGACCATTTTATTTATTGAAAGACACACACACAAACGAAAGAGAAATAAAAACAGAAAAATTCCAGGAATTAGAATAACAGTAGTAAACATTCTATAAATGGAATTTTGTCCTTGTTCAAGAGAGAAAAAAAATTAGCCAAAGAAAAAAAAATGTCATTCATTGTTGTTGTTTTGAATCATTATTTGATGATTCTTTATAACAATAACAAGAATCATAGCTTGTAACAAGAATAATGCTGAAAACTTGTATACGTGGTCAAATGAATGGAATATAAAATAAAATAAAACTTTGAAAACTTTTTGTTAAGAATAATTCCATCAAAAGAAAGATTAGAATCTATTTTTAGTCATTTTTTTTTCAAATGAATGCAAAATTTTGATTGTCAGTATGTATGCAAATGAAGCGGAGGCAAAAAAAAAAGAAAAACGGAAAAACGGAAAAAACTACTGCTGTTGATGTATGAATTTTTTCAACAACAAAAAAAAGTCAAGTAAGACACGTGCATCCCACTGCAGAAGCACCAGCACCAGCACCATTAACAACAACAACAAAGTCAGAAATTGTTGAAAACAAAATGCAACAAATTGAACAACAAGCATGTCTCATTGATTGAATGAATTTCAAAAACAAAAACAAAAAGGACAACCATTATCGAGTGGGTGTATTTATATACTTGACAATTATACTAAAAACTTTTAGAATTATAAAACAAAAACAACAAAAACAACAATATTTACCATTGTTGTCAAGTTTATAATAATTGTGTGTTGTATAATCAACAACAACAACAACAACAACAATTTCGAGTGTTGGAAGGAAGAAACTTTTTCTTTTTGTTTCGGTGTGTGTGTGTTCAATTCGATCAATCAACACTGAAATGAAATTTGTGACATGTGACATTTCAATCATAAACGAAAAGAAAACGGTGACACTTGATTTGATTAATCTAAATTGATCAATCATAACTAAACAAAAAACAAAAAAAAATGCACACGTGCAATATCGCGTATGTGTGATAAAAATAGAATGGATAAAAATGAAAAAAAATTGCCACAACTCATCAATGATGCCAAAAAAAAAAAAACAAAACAAAAAAAAATGAACTTACCAGCATCTATGAGTCGATCAATATGTAAAAAAGTACCGGGAAATGCTGCTAAACGTTGACGATCTTTAAGCAATTGTTGTAGATATTCGGCCAATGAATGGACGGTTTGATTATCATTATTATTATGATTATTGCTATGATTATTATGATTCAATAATGATGATGATGATGATGATGAAGATGATAATCTATTTTGGCCATTAAAATGATGATTATTATTATTATTATTATGACCATAATTGGATGAGGATGATGAACTTTGTTGTGACATACAACTTGTAGCTGGACTATTTGGAATTTGATTACCATTTGACATTGGATTATGACAATCATCTGATTGATGATGTTGTTGTTGTTGTTGTTGTTGCTGTTGTGATTGTTGTAATTGTGGTTGCTGTTGCTGTTGCTGTTGATGATGATTATGATCATCATTTTTGTCATTTAAACCGATCATACCATCAATATTATTATTATTATTATCATTATCATTGGCCAATTGTAATGGCGATGATGATGATGATTCAACAATTGTAGCTTCGCCATACATTATTGCCATCGTGGTTGTTGTTGTTGTTGCTGCTGCTGCTGCTGTTGTTATTGTTGTTGTTGATGATGATGAGGATGATGATTCAGTGGCCATCATCGATGATGATGATGTATGATTAAAATCATCATTTCTATTATTGGTCATATTTTCATCCAAATTGATATGACCACTACCATTGCATAATGCTGTCGTTGATGATGATGATTCAATCATCATATCAAATATTTGTTTAGTTGCATTTTTTACCGGCATATGATGATTATTATTTATATTTGATTCATCTATTTATTGAATAAAATTGACCATCATCATCATTAATTATATTAATGTTATAATTATAATTATTGTTCTGACCATTGTTATTATTATTATTATTATTAATGGCACACGTCGACATTGATGTTTGTTGTTTGTTGTTGTTGTTGATAATGATGATGATGAACAGAGTGTATGATTCGTTGTTTATTGTATATTTAACGTTTGTTATGAACAGCTTATCGATGAATTTTTCATAATCTAAATTTCAATCATCAACAAAAATGATAATAATAGGAAAAAAACTGAAAATTAGAAAAAAAAACATATTAAAAGGTTAAATCATTTTGAATACTAATTAACACCCATGCACTCATGAATAAATAACGATCCAGAATCGTAGATCAAATTGGTTATAATGAAAAAATTCAACATACAAACATATGGGCAAACAGCAGGAAAAACTTTTACTTTTACTTTTAGTTTTTTTTTTTTTTTTTTATTCAAAGGTTCACATCAATATTGATTGAATTATTGATTTTTTTTCTCTTTCTCTCTCTTTTGAGTTTTTTTTCAGAGATTTAGTAGTAGTAAAAAAACAGCACACACAAAAATTCAACACTAATTTATACTGGTTTTTTTTTGACATCACTAAGAAGAAAATCAAACATTGAATTTGTTCACAATTCTTTTTTTACAATGAACAAAGAAAAAAAAAGACGATCAAGAAAAAAAAATTCTATAGAATGGCACAAACACCGCTGACAACATTTAGTACGAAAAAAAAAAAGTGAAATCTATTGATTTAATCTTAATAATAAATAATTCTCATCCATACACACACACACACATGCAGAGAGAGAGAGAGACACTATCCTGTCCTGTTGATTCGATTGGCTATGGTGTGAAGATGTTGGTTGCCGATGGTTGATGACGTTGGCGTCAAGGACATTGATATTCAATTTTTTTTTTTTTTTTGAAAAGGAAAATAATTTTTTTTTGTACTTTCCTTTTTAATAAACAAAACAAAACAAAACAAAATGAAAATGAAAATGAAAATGAAATGAAAATAGCAAAAATGATAATGATGATGAACAACGTATACGTGTTTACTTGTGTTTGTGAGTGTATGTCCAACATAAGTTTTAGTCGTATTGTAACTTCATGGAGAAAAGATATCTATGACACACACACACACGTTATATGTTTATTATGGAATGAAATGACGATGGATTTAAAAAAAGAAAAAGAAAAGAGAATTCAAATCAATTTGAATGTTTTGGTATGTGTGTGTGTCTGTAAATTATGTGACGTTTCAACACTAATGATGATAAATCTTTCTGTGACATTAACGAAATATAAAAAATAAAATTTGTAAAAAAAAGGGGAAACAAACAAACAAAACAAAACACGAATGGAATGAATGAATAAAATTCCAATGACCATATTACAACAACAACAACAACAACAGAAAAAAAAATTCATTGATCATAATCATTATATATATATATTGAAATGCTGTGGATAATGTTGAATGAAAAGAAAAAAAAATAAATTGTAAAAAAAACCGATAAATAAAATGTATTGATCATTATCAGAAGCAAATATAACAGCAACAGAAACCGCACACACACATACACACACACACGATACAAATATCAGGCAATCATATCATTAAAAAAAAATTGATCGATTGATCGATTCATCATTCAAATATATATATATGAAAAAAAACATGACAAGAGAAAAAATCCGTATGGAAACTATTTAAATTCAATGTGTAATGTGACAATGATGATGATGATGATGATATGACTTTGAGATGTTTTGTCTATCATGATTATCATCATCATCATCATCATCATCATGATGATGGTAGCAGCAATAATAATAAAATCAAACCCTATCGAATGAAAAATGGGCTGAATCATAATTCAGCAAAGCGCATCGCACACACACACACACACAAACACACGGACACACAAACACAGACAAAATAATTCAAGATAACTGAATTTATATCAACAGATAATACTGGATGGATGGATGATGAGTGGAAAAACACAATTTTTTCCCATTTTGATGATGATATGATTTCAATGATAAACAGAAATTTTTTTTTTGACAAGCAATAACGACAAAAAGAATCTGGTTCTAACCAACCATTAAAAAAAACGAACCGATCAAAACTCGATTATTATGGTGAAATCCATTCAAAATGAATGGATTTCTATGGCTAAAATATATTCTTTTTTAGTTTTGTATATATAATTTTTTTTTTTGATTGATTGATCGATTATAGATATTGGTAAGCTATTCAATAGCCAGGATTCGTTTTAGTTGTGCAAATGCTTAGCAGATTTGTTGTTGCTGTTGTTTACTCGTTCTATATATTGTATGAAGATAAAGATCGAAAATAGTAAATGATGAACAAAATATTCGGATTATGTGTGTGTGTGTGTGTGTGTGTGTGTGGTGGGTGGTCGGCCGATTACTATATTTGTCGATATTGACAATTTTTTCCAATAATGATGATGATTGACATCATAATATACAAAATGAATTGAATGATGAATAGTTGACTAATAGCTGACTAACTGATGTATTCCATTGTGGAATTTCATTTCAATTTTTTGTCTTTTTTTTTGATTTTTTGCTATATTTACAATTCATATGCATGCAAACAAACAAAATAAAATTTCCATTGCATCACACAATATATGGGTAAAATGTTGTCAAATTTCAATAATTTTCAATTTATCGATTTTCACTTCTTCTAACTGTTCACCACAGACAATTTGAGGATGGGCTCATCATTATTATCATAATCATAAGGATTTTGGTTGTTGCCAACAAGTGATTTTAGGTGTGTGTGTGTGCGCGTGTGTTTTGTTTCAAAAAACATGTGTGAAACGTGAATAAATCAAAAAAATTTTTTTTCTAAATCAAGAAAACAAAAATTTGCTTAAATTGAAAACAAATTATTAATGAAAATCGACATGTGTGTGTGTGTGTGTATGGATGACATGCATAAAATATTTATATATGTATTGCCGATATAAAACACAAAACTTTTTTTTCTGTTTTGTTTTTTTTTTATTATTTGTAGGTAGAATCATCAATGTTGTTGCTGTTGCTAGTGTTTAATGAATGTGGCAAAGATATTGATGATGATGATGATGATGATGGTTATACATTTCAACCACATATATATACAATAAGACCTTCGCTAAGTAGTAATGATAATGTGTAGGTGTCTATCGTTAATATTGGTGACAATTTTTTTTTCTCACTCATTATAATAGTTATATAAAAATAACAAACTACTTGAACTTTCATTGACATCATTAATATCAACACTAATGTGTGCATATAGTCGATTTCCGTTTTATGGAAAATAAAAATGACGACTACCAAACACACAAATGAATATTTGATATTGAATGAAAGAATCCAAATTTTATTTTGTTTTTTTTTTCTTTCACTTTTTTTTCTCTTATATTTCACGACTTCAGAATTGATATGATATATATATTAATAATAATAATGCTGATAATATGAAATAAAATGAAATCATCATCATATCGTTCATATATTGAATGAATGGGGAAAAAAAATCGAGAATGTAATAAGAACATTCATTCGCACAAACACACAGAACACACACTAAAGAATAAAAAAAAGGAAGACAGAACCTAGAAAAAAAACTATGTATCCATTTTGTACAAATAAAAAAAAAGGAACAACCAGCAGCATACATCCCATAACCGTAGTTCCGATCATTGATGATGATGATGATGATGGAAATGAAATCATTCGCATTCAACGATACATGAAAAGATTGTAAAAAAGAATGAAAAAAAAAATTGCTGAATCAAAATGGCCGGTCATTTAATATATTGAAAATTCAATTTCCGCCACAAGATAAAAAAATATATTCCGCCATTTATTTGTTACTTTCACATATTGACCATATATTAATATACAAGGTGATGATCAAACATCACACCATCAATGAACAAGTAGATTGCAAAAATTGTTATTCTTCAAAATACTGGAAAACACTAAAAGCATAAAAATGAAATTTTTTTCTCTCATCAGAAAAAGAATAAAATGAAATGAAATGAAATTGATTCAATGATAAAGTTTCAGTGCAAATCTTATCTATTAGTTATGAACATTGGATACAGAAACTATAACAACAAATGAAATAAAATAATAGTAAAAAAAATTCCAAACCAGAATCATGTTCAAAATGATCGTTTGTTTTTGTTTTTTTTTTTTTTTTGGTGAAAAAAAAATTGAAAAAAAAAAATTAAATTACACACAAGTTTCAATTATTAGATTCAGTTTATTATTACAATCACATTCGACACACATAGTGATGAAAGTGAAAGTGAAAGGTATTGAAAATTGGAAATAGACAACAACAACAGCAACAACAACAACAACAAAAAACATTCAACACATTCATTCCAATAAACACATGTGCAATGCTATATTTGATGATTCCATTCCATTCATTTTAATTTTCTTTCCACAATGAGGGACTTTATCATTTTCTCTTTCTCTCTCTCTCTCTTGTTCTCTCTATTCGATGATCA